ATCATTACTGGAAGACTGCGCCTCTAAGGACTTCATTCTCCATCATGCACCATAACCAAAAGGCATTCCTCTTGCCCAGTCTGTCTTTCTTCAAGACACACTATTCTGTACCTGGGAAAGATCAACCATGCTTCATAATATGGGCCCACTTAACAAGAGTGAATTCCTGCTCGCCAAGTCACGGATTCTAATCCATACAGACCTGCCAAAGCTGCTCTGACGAAGTGTTCAGGGAAACAACATCCACATTCATAAGTGCTCCCCCCGCGTATGAAGACATATGTCATCTGTCTCGTTAATGAATGTGACATTGTACACGTCCCCTTAAACACAGTGCACAAAGTGGTGTGAGCTGAAAGACATGATGCCACGTTAAGTAAGGCACAGAAATGCACTTTATGCAGGTAGTTTCAATGTCTCCACCGCTCCGACCACAGAAGCCTTAATGGCTTTAGGAGGAGGTTCTTCTCTTACAAACAGATCACTTTCACCCGCAGCGCTCGTGCTGCCACACTGTCTATGCAGCCACTTTCCTACAGGCCAACACATCTAGATGTCTGCCACAAAGTGTTTAAAAGCACGCTATTTTCTCCCTTATCCATATAGATTAGAGAGACCTGCTGCGGTACTGTTGGGAGATATGTTTTCTTATCGTGGGGAGGGGTGACTGTTTTGTTTTTTTCCTGTGAAATCGAGCTAGTCTGGTGCCGATGTTCGCGCCACTCTCCTTCAGGAGGCACTACGGTCTGACATCGGTGGGGGTTGGTGGGGGCCAGTTTTCCATTACCTGCTTCTGCATTCCAAGGGGGACGGATGATAAAGAGGCTTTATCTTCTGTGGCAAACTTTCCTTCTCCCAAAGTCTTTCCTGCTTTGCAGAGTGAGCTGGACAGGGTGTCAATCAAAGGAGGCCTCAGGGTCACTGGCCTGACAAAAGAGGTATGCTTCCCAAAAGGGGTTGAAAAAATACAGTATCACAATATTTTCTTGACATGTTTCATGATCTTCCATTTTTCTGGGTTTGACTCAAGTTGGAAGACACCAAGCACAAGTACAACAGTAGTGTTGACTTTAAAAGATGCAATCAGAACAATTGGAATGATTTTTTTGGTACATAATCTAATTAAGAAGGACAAATTACTCTCTCATGAATGCCAAGTATTGTCATGATTCAAACTTGTAACCTCCTAGCAATAAGGCAAAATCTCTTTTTAATCAAACATGCAGTCATTTCAGTATTGATGATATTCATATAATTTATGACATCATGACAACAATGTCATATTACTATATTGACCACTAGCGTTGAATGATTTGGGGGAATATCTCACTGTGATTTTTCTGACCAATATGGCGAATATGACGTCAACTGCGATTATTTTCAGTAATTTAAGGATTAGGGCTGATGTTTTGCCCAGGATGCCTGGTATATCCACTTTTTCTAGCTTGAGGATTGAATGCTGAATGTATTGTGACAGACTACCAGCTAGCAGTGTTAGGTGTGGGTGTTTTGTTGCATCTGATTGATTTAACTCCTCTCCGAACAGTTCACAAGCTCTGTGTTATTGGGTTAAATTTCACTACTTAAACCTGTTATGACAACATTGTTTATACTGTAAGGTTAAAATTTCACTCCTTCAAATTGCAATTCGGACATAAAATTTATTAATCTTTTAGCTCTATTGTCCATCTATACTTTACTGGGCTGAAAACCAAAATCGAAAAACAAATTCAAACTTCAAAATTCAAACTAAAATTATTACATTATGTAGGCTGGTCATCCAGAGTAATTAATTCCATTTTTTTTCAGTTATATATTTTGCGCTTTGGCACTGGTGTTTGAGATTTCGAACACTGTTGCTACAGATAGCATTGGTGTGCTCGTAGGGACTTTCCTTTTTGTCGTTTGGGATATTCTGCATATGGAGTGAGAGCATTTTAAGTGGTGTATCAAACCTGTAATAGAGACGCTCTTTGGCGTTGTACCCCCTCTTGATACTTCACATGAACAGCGATTATAAACCGCTTGTCGAATGTGCCTCGTAGAAATCGTGAAACAGTTCTGCATGGCTGGCCTTTTCACTGTTAATCTACTGCTGCTCAAAACTGTTTGAACATGTTTGTCCTGACTAGCACAAGAGAGTGAGGGAAATAATTAAAATTTAAAAACCTTGGTTACCATTAAATTATATGTAAAGTCCTAAATTTTGACACTTTCTTGTAAGCCTAGTTAATCTTTGCTTTTTTCCTGCCAAAATATTTGTCTAACTTTTTCATCCAAAACCTGAAATTTCCATTTTTTTACTATATTTGACACTAAAATTTTCAGTGCACTCTTACTGAGTATTCAAACATGCCATGGTCTAGCACTAATGCCTGAACATACAAGCATTGTAAGTTGAGATAATGGGAATGAATGCAACTTTCATAAATAACCAGCCAATAATTTCTCTCATTGTAGAGGGCAAGCACCATTTAGAATGTAATGTAAAGCTACTAAATGGTTGCAATTTTACAGCTTTGAGCTGAGACCATCTAATTGGAGCAGCGGGAGAGCTATAAAAGCATGTATTTTATGCATGTTCTCAAGCGTTCAACCCTCCGCAGCAACAAACTCTCTTCAAAGCCCAAACATGACTTCTGGTTTGTTTGATCCTACATCCAGTAACACAGCTACACAGAAACTCCTCCCTTGAAAGCTCTACCTACATGATTTCATGTTCTATAGCAATGAGCAGAGTAGACAATAAGTAGACAGAGGGCAACAGCTCACACACACAAAAACTGTTCGACAGATCAATACGATCACATATATTTACAGTACCCAGTATATAGTAAACTACACAACAACTAAAGTCGATGGTTTCATTTTTCCCCATATATGCATCCAAAAATCTTGAACCACATGGACTGCATGGATCGGCTCATCCTAATTTAGGTTGCCGTGTGTGGTCTGTGCAAGTGTGTGTGCTGAAGGCTGCTCAAGACACTGTTTGTATTTATGAGTGTGTGGGAATGAGTGGAAGTGTGTGTACGGTTTATGAATGCACAAGTGTAAGACAGCATGGTAGTGTGTTTGTGCTGAAACCACAGTAACGACGGGTCTGGAGGAACACACTGGAAAACTTCAGAGCTGCCCACAGGCAAAGGCTCTGTTTAAAGTCTGGCAGATCACACGGCCTCGTTCAGCTCCACGTCCTCTGCAAACATGTGGCTGCAATTGAGTGGAACAGCCCCTCCCCCCAGCCTGCCATCTCACCAGCCCCATGTAAACATCCCAGGTCCGCACAGCTCACTAAACCACAGTCAAATGGCCTGATTGATCCACTTCACTAAGCCAAACCTAAACTCTCACTTAGGTCCAATCAAAACGAAGGCCTGCGAATTAGCTGCAGTAATTCAGAGTAGAGCGGCTCTAAACGGGGCTGTTCTAGGACCTGAGAGCCACGAGCCTTGCCCATTTTGCACGGAGGTGCGTGTGTAAACACACATTCCTCACATGACTGGGGGTTATTAATGTGCAGTGGCGCAGGGGAGAAGGGGAGGTGGGCTGGAGGGTGATCTGGACTCTGACAGAGCAATCAAGCTCCAATAATTACGAGACAGGAAACCTGCTGATTGCCCAGGTCTGTCTCTGTCTGAGACGCAGGGTTAGGGGGTTAATCCGTGCTTACGGCAGCAGGAATCAGGGTGTTGCAAGGCCCCTTTCCTTCCAAAACACATGCAACCAGAGATAAAACAAAGAAAAAGTATAGCAGCCAAACCTGTAGACAGTTTCGGTTGGGCGACTGAGTAGTGGGACCCCAAAAAGGCAGACCATAGATACATGGAATAGCGTTTACTACTTTTCTACAAATTTCCTATTATTATGTTATCATATCTCTGAGACAGTAATTTTACAAGAGAAAGGGAAAAAATAACATCTGTTCATTTCTAAGTGTAAGTGTAGTGTGAAAATGTTTGCTTTTTATGTCTATTGTTTCATTCATTATGAAATACTTACACAATGTAAAAGGGCAGCAGGGAAGTCAGAGACCCAGAGCCCACCCTTCATTTGCGTAACTTCCAGTCAAAACAGCGATTAGGTACAATTTAGTCGTGCAAGTTGTTAATTAAGGAGATATTTCTGAGGATATTATATATAACATCCCACTGGTGTAAGGAAAAAGTAAAAAAAGTGAAAAGCAGTAGTTTCTACAAAATATTAAAAGATAGAAAATGGACTTTTAATAACCGTGCAAGACCTGGTAGACCACTCAAACTGTCACCATCAGAGAAACAGCACAAGGTCTACTCTTGTTTCAGATCTGCAAAATCCACAGGTGTTTCTGTCCATCCTTCTAATTGAGAAGACAACAACACTATGAGTCTGAAAGGATGTGTAGCTGTCACATAGCCAAAGGAAATAACAATAAAAGGGCCACCACCGAGTCCAGACCTCAGCATCACTGAATGTATTTGGGATTATTTGGATTGTGAAAAGCAGAAAATACAACCAACTTCTAAGACTGAACTTTGGAAAAATACAAAGATTTCTTTGAAAAACTGTAATAAAAATTTGTAATAAAAGTAAAGGGTGGACACACTAAATACTTAACTGGAAATTAAATAAATCAAGGGTGGTCTCTGACTTTGCACTGAACACACACACTTACACACTGCACATAATATTTTATATATATATATATATATATATATATATATAATGCCAAAAGTTTATTTTCATTATATATATGATATGTTTATTCTACGTAAACATTTTAACATTAAAAGCAAGTAAATCTTCACTGAATGCAACAGGGCCCGAAGGAAGTTAAAAGTAACAGTCTCTGGAGGTGTTCAAGTCTGAATGATGGCCAAGAATTACAACATTCAACAAGTACAACGTTCTTATACCAAGACGACAAGCTTGAGAACATAGAAAGAGAGATGGAAAGACTGAGGTCAAGGAACTTTCCACAACCACAATGGAGCAAATAAGAAGCAACAGTGAGATCTTACCTGAAAGGGGAGCCAATGTGGCACAGCATGATGTTCCAGAAAGCATGGCCTGACCAGACTCATGGATGTCTGAGGTAAGATGCCCCACACTGACGGAATTTTTCTAGGCAGTTCTCATAAGGCAAAGCCACCAACACGCCCACAAATCCTTTGGTAGAACTGCAGAAGAACAGTTGAGAAAAAAAAATGTTAAAAAAGATGATGAGAAGGTTTTATAGAAGTAGAGAGGTAAATTTGGTCTCTGTACTTAAACCTGGAAGAAGCTGTTAGAAAAGACAAATATGTTTCTATTTCATCTATTTAAGATGTTCAACAAAACACTGGTTAAAGCTGACAGAAATGCAATTAAGAGGGATGAGGTTATCATGACCTTACCTGTGCAGCAAAAAGTTATGACATTTGTAAAATACACAGATAACCTTTAAGAACCCTTGTACATGGGGAATAAAATACCACGCACTAAAAGCCAGCGAGAGATGCCTACATTATTAATGATGCACCTTCAGCATTCACTGATGTTTCTGACTTACACTAGACCTCATCCACATAGACAGAGAAGTACAAGAGCAAGGTCTCATATTACAAAAGAGCGTAAAAGCCGAGTTGCAGCTTGTGAAGGGTGCACGGTCAATGCCACTTAACAGTGCAGAGATAAAGTACTTGGATTCAGACTAAAAGCTGCCTAGCCTATAACCATGCCCTATTCCATGCTTTAGGTTTTTAAGCCATGGGTTCAACTTCTCATGAATGCATCTGGCAAGAAGGAGAAACTGCAGGGTCTCTATCACACTGTCTAACATCAACTTCACCTCCTGTGAAGCACTGAGGCTTCATAGTGTTGAGTGGAATCTAGAGATGGCATCACTTTTCAATTTTTCTTTTCCGATATCATGTTGAAACTTTTAGTATCGGCTGATACTAAACAGATATTTTTTCATTAAAACCTACTAAAAATGAGCTACTTTCACTCCATCATGCTCAAACTACTCAAACACTCTACTAGCCCACAGGCAGAAATTTCAGACTAGACTTGCCACAGAATTAGATCAGATTCATTAGTTGTTTCCCCTTTGATATCTGATCCACCATTTTCTGCTGATGTCAGCCTGATAACGATAAGCCCCCTCTGATGGAAATGTCTATATTTATGTCTAGGGGCAACCTAAATAACACACCACTTTCTCTTCCTTCACAAAATCTTCACATCAAATGAACCAGAGACCCCTAGATTCTCAAAAAGTTATTTTCCCAAAACATATGCTCACATCCTCCATTGAGAAGGCCACTCAGTACAAGAATATCCACCAGTCCAACAAAATCTTAGAGAGCCCACCTGCCTATACTTACGATATGTAAACTTTAACAAAAGAGCAGTTCAGCCTAATGTAGACATCAAATGAATGATCACTAGTTAAAATTTCAGTAACTATCCAAGTGTTCATAAGGCTACATAACACCTACATAGGCCTTTCATGACTACTGACATAAACCCAAATAGACATTATAAAGGCTTATTCCAACAAGCGTCATTTGTCATAACACTTGCTGAGGTGAATATCGCAATACACCATACACCTCACAATACTTTGACACTGACACATTGCACTGGTAGTGCCACGTTTTAAAACTGCCATTAGAACTCTTGGCACAATGACTTTTCTCCAGCATTTCACATACAATAATGAACTAAATCCAATTGTACAGGGCTAAATATGCTCTCTTTGTAATGATGCATGCTGTTGTTCAGTGTTCTTTTAAGAACTGAAATCCATGGTATGCTCAGAAAAGCACACTGTGTATCACAATATTGCCCACCTAAGGGGAAAATTACACCAAAACTGACAAAAGCAGTCTTTATGATGCTGGAATAAGCCTTTATAAATGATTATGTAGGATTGTCAGTTGCCCCGAGAAGCTTATGTAGATATCAAGTAGCCTTTATGATTCCTACCTGTTCTGTAGGACACGTTTGTTTGTTATGAGGGAGCAAAACAAATACAAGTAAAATGCAAAAGAGCTTAGAAAGTTGGCTTAAAGGTGCTTTTAATACTGGCTCTCTCACTGACGAAAAGTGAAGACAACAAGCTGCACTTCTGAACCCCCTTTTTATTTATTTGAACTTCTTTGCAGTTCAGCATCTCAGCAGCTAATCAATGTACAGCAAAGGCACTTACTTGATGACGTCAGTGGAATGTGCATGACATGTTAAATGATACGTTTTTGTGAGCGTGGAAAAAGAGCATAATGGAAGGGGTAAACAGAAGGCAGAGAGAGAGAGAGAGAGAGAGAGAGAAATGGAGGAAGGGTGAGCAGAAAATAAACAGAGCAGGAAGATGAGGGGACAGCTGTAGGAAGTGGAAATCAAGATGCCATCGCCACTGTTAATTCCAGAGGGTTTAGTAAAGCCAACAAGAAAGCATGGGGGCGTATAAAAAGCAGTTGGGGCTAATACGATCAAAGTGAACGATCAGCCATAGCTAATTGAAATTAAAGCCCATGAAATGAGAAGGTTAGCGTGGTTCACTGGGGCGCTCTGTGTGGGAACATGCAAAACTGGTGGGAGGCCTCTGCGGCTCCAGCCCAAACAGACCAGAGCTTCCACTCTGACCTCCTTCACACTTTAATAATGACCTTTAAACTTAACACCTCCTCTGCCAAACAGCCTCTTGCACCATTTAATTCCATTTCTACTGAATCTGCCCACAACGTTACTCAGTTCCTCAGTTATTTGCCGAATTGCAACTGCTTACATTTCCCAGCACCTCACCCCTTAAAAAATAAACCCTGTCAACATCAAAACCTGAACCAACCAAAATATAGCTAAACCTCTGAGGGCTGATGATCTAGGAGTTTCACAGTGTAATAGTCAGAAGTCAGTGGCAGAGGGCTCACCACTGGTTGTGAACAAAATCACAATACAGACCCCATGCCTGTTATCTCTGGACTCAGACCACAAAAAACCAAACTCCTGACCTCAATCATACACTGCATGAAATGCAGCCTCTCAGTTAAAAATGCTTTTCTGATCTAGAACCAAATGGAAACCAGAAGCAGGAGGTACATGAATCCCAGCTTATTTTCCCTCAGTGTTTAGCTTCAAAAGGTGAGGGAGGCCATAAAGAGATAAGGTTAGGAGGTTGATTAATAGATGTTAATAATGAACCCTTAGTCCTATAAATGTTTACCTAACTTTAGAGAAAGACTTGTTCTCCACCTACTAAAGTTAATACCAGTCTCCACAATGCCAGAGCCATTCATGAAGAGAGAGATAAAGACCTTGGTTCACAGTGTAATAAGAAACAAAATGTGGATATTTATCTGCATCACTGATTTAAGAAGAAACTAAATGAATTAATTTAGTTCAAAATTCGGAATAAATTATTTATAGAATTGAATTTCTAGAAAACATGCCTTAGAAATTGTTATAATATTTATTCAAAGTCTATCTGGAGCATTTCTATAGGTCCACTTACGATTTCTCACAATGTACTCAAATTTTCACACAATGTGCAAAACAGCCGCAGTGTTTAAATGAAGCAGAACAATAAAAAAAAAGGCTAAAATGCCTTGGTGAATAATGTGAGATGGCTACAGTACAATATTGTTCAAGAAGATTAAAACAAAAAGCTTGACCAATTACTATTAGCTATTATAAATATAAATATAATATGATTGGAAACCTAATAAAATATGAATTTCTTCATCAAAATAATTTCTTCATCATAAAAAAACAGCATAAAAACTTGAAGAAGCACAAAAGGTCTGCTTTGTGTTAACCTAATGAGGCTTCAGTCAGGTGGGGCTAAGCCTTCTGCATTGATTTGCCGCGTCTTAATCCATCTTTATAAGCATTTAACTACTATTCATGCAGAAATAATTCCCTGCTTCTTCAAGGCAGCTGCCTGGGCTGCTAATTAATGATTTTTTATGGAGTTTTTGGTTCAGGGTCAGCAGCAATAAGCACATACAAAGTGCAGTACGACTGAACTCCACTCTGCAAACATAGCCTGTTAAACAAACTGACAATAGTGACCAAATAACACTGTGGGATGGATAAGGAAATACATTTTTATGGTTGCTAAGGTAACATGGGCCTCTCAACTGCTGGTTAAGTGAACATATCTCTTGACTAAAACGACCACCTGTAGCCCACCTCACCGTAGCCAAAGCATCAATGCCAGTCCCATATGGTCAGTGAGAGGAAGACAAAGGGAGGTTCCAGCACAGCTGATAATGGGTGCACGTGTACTTTGCACGCTCCAGCTCACCCAAAACAACTCAATTCTTTTGTTCTAAACCCCTGCAAAATGTGCTGCTGAAACAAAGGCTTGTGACTAAAATGTCCTACAGTAGCATGAATAAAGGAACTTGATGAAAGTGATGAAAATAAAACGGTAATTCAAATTGAAAGCAGAAGCCTATTCCCGAATACGAATTAGGTTATGAAGCGATAGTTACCCTATAACTGAATGACTGCTGAACACTCAGAATGAAGAGGAAAAAAAGAGGGAAAAAGAGGGAAAAAGAGAAGAAGGCCACAGGTGTGTTAAACCAAATACTAAACCATTACACCAACTACGTAATGCAGGTAATGACAATGCACCATTATGCAAGACTACTCTGGGAATAATCTGAATAATACTGCGAAAACAAAGCGGTGATATTGGATTTTACTGCCCTCTTTTCTTTGGTTTCTGTCCTTTCTTCAGAGCTACTGAAAAGAGGTGTTCTTTGGTTGCCAGCCACATACAACCCATTTGTAGACTCAGTGTTCATTAAGATTTGCTGATAACATTCAGCGAGAAAAAAAGTCACCAAGCCAGGAAGTGCGCGTCTGTCTCTGCAGTAAAAAGGGGGAAGTAAACAGGTAGGCTATTGCCGTAGCGGATAAGATCTCTCCAGACCCAATTTCAGCCTCCATTCACTGCCATTACCCAAGCCCCCCTCTGGCTTTTCAAAACCACATCTTATTTCAGACAGGGTTCATTGTACAAAAGAGAAGCTCCTGAAAGCCCACAGTGAATGCACATAGACACACCAGGCTCCATCTTACAACTGACATTACCGAGCACTCTTGGCGCAGTCGTTTGAAAACAATAGCCTTTATTAAGTCTAACCAGACTATGAAAAGGATTACAAGTGGTTTAGCTTAAATGAATAGCTGAGACAGCACAACATTGCTTTCTCCTCTCCTTTAACTCACTGCATCCAGACAGAGAAGGAGGCAGTAACCTGATTCTCATTCTCTCCTTCAACTCCCCCACCCCCAAAACCCTCAGCTGCACAGCACCCGACCTCCCACCGTTGCTTTCTCTCTTTTCCCCTGAGCCAAAGCACCTTAAAAGCCGGGAGAAAGCCCAAAGGCCGAGAGCAAAGAGGTAGTTATCCACAGAGGCAGCAGAACAACTTTTTTTTTCTTTAAATATGGCTGTAATGATATATAAATAAAGAAGGCTTGGCTCTTCAGGAGAAAATTAGATTTGTTTCCTTGCTCTCCTCCCACTCCTAGTTTAGTCGTGAGCAGGCAGAGGCCTTTCTCTGACCGGTGGCTCCAACAGCCACAAACATCATTAAAGGTTGCATTTGCTATATGAGGTAGAGGCAGGGCGAGGGGGTCAGGAGGAACCTCGGCCCATATCACAGCTGTTGAGGAATGAGATAAACAACTAAGAAGAAAAGTGAGCTGGAAGTGGCTGGAAATCTCAGGCTATGAATCACGAGAACCTATGGGAGAAATTAGTTCACACAATTTGCAAATGTTAACTGTGGCGTTAAGGGCAATGCTGATCTTACAATCATTCTTCAGGGCAAATCACCCATGCCTGAGAGAAACACAGACAGACACTATCTGCAGCCTATCTGCCCACATGTTCCACAATTAGCAGCACCACATAAAGAATCATGAGAAGCGATGGGTAGTTTCATGGGAGAAATCCATTTCACATCATTTGCGGATGGGAACTCGTTAGCGTTAGCATTAGGGCAAGGCTGAGAACTCGATATCACAATCATTATCGTCAGAATAAACTTGAATAATTTCGGTTCACAAGCAAATGAGTGAATAGATAAACAAACAAGTAATACAACTATTTATATTTATTTAATCTGTTGGTGAATTCGCACTGTTAAAGCGGGGTCAGCTGCTTTTCTGTGAGGCCCCAGCAACGACTGTCTTGATTGTGGCACGCAGTGAGTTTGACACAATCTTAAATGAGCATGCACTGTGGTGATAAAATCTACAAAGAGAAAACGAAACAGGGAGGTCAGGGCTAGTGGGACAAAGCCACAAGCCAAATACATGACCCAAGACACACACGCAGACAAGGCTGCAGACTCTGATACACATCTCACTCTGAAAGTAATAGATTTATACTAGAGCAGAACAATTAAACGGTTTTATGTCGAAATTGCAATTTGAAAGAGGAGAATTAAAAAAAAAGAGAGTTGCTTTCTTTATTATAGTACACATTAATCAACAATGTTGTCTTAACAAGTTTTAAATGGACAAAACTGAACCTAATAACACAGAGCTTGTGAACTGCCTGCAGATGAGATCGACCAATCAGAAGCTACCACTTGTGTTCTGTATATGTGACATCACAACCATCACAACTAACTGTTAGTCTGACGCACTCAGTGAACAAGCTTCAAGCCAGAAAAAATGGATATTCTGGTCTTCTTGGCCAAAAACAGGTCTGAAAATTAATTTATAGAAAATAATTGCATTTTAATCACAATCGCAATATTGTTCAGCCCTAATTTACACATTGAGTACATTACATTACACATTCAGACTTAATATCAATCAAGTCGATGTAGATTTGTCAATCACACGAATAGCATTTCCCTAGAACAGGGGTGCACAACTCCGGTCCTGGAGGGCCGGTGTCCAGCACAGTTTGGAGGTTCCCCTGCTCAATCACACCCACTTAACCTGGTAATTAACAGATAAGTATAATCAGGTGTGTTCGAGCAAGTAAATCACCAAACTGTGCTGGACACCGGCCCTCCAGGACTGAAGTTGTGTACACCTGCCCTAGAATATCCTGTCCTCTGTTTTGGTCTTCAGACTCTTTAATGGCTTGTTCATGATTCCTCTGATTGCTTCCATCAATCTTGTTGCTGGCCGTCTTTTACCTTATTTCACCTTCAACTGTTCCAAGTATAATTGTCTTCTCCAATGAACTGGTTCTTCCCCAAATATGTCCAAAATAAGTCTGGTTTTCTGGACACAGGCATAAAATATACAGCACTGTGCAGAAGTCAGAGATCACCTTTTTAATTTTCAGTTTTACAAAGACATCTTGAGAGATATTAAAGTTCAGTCAGGTTTGTTATATTTTCAGCTTCTTTCTTTGCCTTACAAATTTCTTCTTTTTTGTCTTTTTCCTTTTCTCAGTAATGGATTCCTGACAGCTACACATCCTTTCAGACCCACCCATAGAAACACCTGTGGATTTTTTTCAGATCTGAAGCAAGAGTGGAGCTTCATTTTCTCCTCTTTTAATATTTTTTTGAATTCCAGTTTTGAAAACTCATATTGTTTAACTCTTTTTCCCTTAACTTTCACTTTCCTCATGAAAGTGGATCATTGTATATCTAATCTCCTCAGCAATATTTCCTAAAAATGAATAATTTATACTTAATGGCCGTTCTGACTGGTCTCCAACTTTTGCACAGCACTGTATGAAAACTGGCACAGTGGATTTTCTTTTTTTTTTCCATAAAGACTCACTGCTAGCCCTATCAGCTAAGTGTTCCTGAAAACGACTTCCAGATCTAAGTAGCTCAAACTGCCCGGTGTTTACTTGAAAGTCTATTCATATTCACTGCGTTGAGACAGGGAAAATAAACCATAGGCATTAAAGTCTATTTGTGTTTCCGAACACTGGCACTAAAAAAAGAGAAGGGTTTCTTTGCAGAGCCAGGAGGCGAGCACAGCCCACTCTGAGGCTCTGTTTTTCCTTCAGCATTTTTCTCTTCTTTTTTTTTCCCCTGGAGCACAAAGCCCAATAGCACGGTGAATCAAGATATACGGATAGAGCAGCCTCTCTTCTTACTGGGAGATTTATCTCAGTCTCCATTTGTAATAGCCCTGGGGACTAATCAGAAGTCGGTTTGCTCTCTGTGTGCTGGGAGGACACAGACACACAGATTTACTGAAAGACACACTCACTCTGAGCACCCTTTTGAAGCAGACAGTTTAAAAGGGCAAGAACACACTTTCTAATCAGCAGTGCCCTGTATAAATACAGAAGGAAGGCTACAGCGTCCTCAGGATTATTGCTGAAAGGGCCCTGCTGGCTCAGCCTTTACACAACTGCAGCATTCGGAATATTCACAGTATTCCAGACAGCACTGCACATATTTCAAGATATAAAAGTATAGCTCTGTCTTCACAAGCCTAAACATGACTCTTTGAGATCCTAAAGTACAGAAGACAACAAAACAAAGCGGTGAAAGATACACAGTCTCCAATTGCAGCTAGTCACTGTAGATGCACAAAATAAACAACATGCTTAAATAAAAGAACACGAAGGAAACTTGGGCTCCGGTGTCACTTTGCTTGTCTGACATGTTAATAGGCCTGTATGATAGCCAGTACCCTGATTACCAATCGTGCAACAATAATGTGGCCTTCACTCACCTACGACATAACCACCACCAGCGAAGCCACAAATAACCTTTCAACTGGCAACCCATTGAAAAAATACTGGTCTCAGTTTATCTGTATAGTACGCCATAGATTATAACCAGATGTTCAAAGTCTAAATCTGGTTCATTCTCAACAGCATTACAGTTAGTACTAGGATTTGGTTTAGAGTTGAGAATTAAGTTTAGGCTTAGAGAAATGGTTTGGTCATGTTCATAGGTATTCAGATTATAAGCAGATGCTTAAATTCTAAATCTGGTTCATTCTCTATAGCATTACAGTTAGCACTAGGATTTGGTTTAGGGTTGAGAATTAAGTTTAGGGAAACGGTTTGGTCCTGTTCATAGCTACAACTATTGTGGACTGTTATATAAATGTACCAAGAAAAATTAAAAAAGCAAAGCAGTAACTAAACCGTGCAAAGAAAGTACTGACTACAAAAGACCCAAGCCCAAATTTACAGAACACAGATTTAGAATACAGACTGCTTAGTTGAGCTATTCAGTAGGCCTGCAAGGAGGATTTTACAGTGTGCAGACTGGAACCTGTGACATCACTAAGCCTACAAACAACTGAACTCTACCAAAAACTCTGCTAAATCCATCCATAAAGCTTAAAAAAATGAACTTAATGAATTTAATCGTAAATGGATGGTTAATACTGATTATTTACCGATATTCTAGGAGCACAAACTTGTACAGTGTCATAATTCTCTGCCCCGGGGCCTGAGAGTGCTCCAGGTTAAGCTACAGCAGGAAAGGCTGGATGTTAGCAGGGATGAGAGAGAAGAGCTACACGGCAAGATGGCTAAAAACGGTACGGCTGCAGTGTAGTGTAGTCATACTGTGGCATACCAAAAGTTAAGCGAAAGGAAACGACGTTTGACGGACAAATGACCGATAATGTGAGTTAAAAATACTAAAACATTTAAGAAATTCACCGTCACTGCGCGTGCTACGTAGCTAGTGAACAGGGAGAACACATTTTGCTGTAACGCTACAAACGTAACGCTCCTCTCAAAGTTTTCTCCCGGAAAAAAGCATCGGGCAGAATATCCGGAATCCCCGCTTACCTATCCGTCAATTCGTCAACTCACTCCGGCCAAAATCCCTCAAAACAGAGCCCTGACTCGATTCCCGTCGTCAGTCGTCGGCGGATTACAGAAGCTTTCCGAAATGTAGTTTTAAAGTGGTTTTATCCAGTTAGTGTTGATGTTTTGTCCAGGTCGCACGTCCGCGTCGTTCTCTCTCGCTCTCTCTCTCTCTCTCTCGTAGTGCTGGAGCTACATTCCACACTGGCGCTGCGTAGCCAGAGCAGCAGTGTAGAGCCAATCCTCCAATCAGTGCAGGCCGGCCAAGAGCAGCACAGGGACGACCGGAGGGGGCAGGGTGGGTGGCTGGGTGGATGGGTGGGGGTCCAAACTAATGCTTCAGACGCCACCTCGCGTACAGCTTGTCATGGATACGGTTGAATGTAATCTGCTGGACTGTAGATTGTACCATGTACCAAGCTTGTACAAAGCTCAGTTAGGGATATTTAAATACCGGTCACTTTAAAACTAGTTTGTACTTCAGCAAACTGGACACTTTATGAGTCACTCTCCGTTATTGCACCAGACTGTAATGCACAATTTGTAAGATACCCTTTACCTCAATCGGCACTGGTCAGTTTATGACTGCTGCTGACCAGATATTTGGGTGGGGGGCCTTTCTCACAAATCTGACCGTTGATAAAGGGCTAGAGCAGGGTGCTGGAGGGCCGGTGTCCAGCGCAGTTTGGTAGTTCTCCTGCTCAAACACACCCATTAAACTGGCAATTAACGGATGTGTATAACCAGGTGTGTTTGCCCTGCTGAAAAAAAAAAAAACAAAACATAGAAACCATTAAGTGTTTTTGTTTCTGATGGGTTTGTAATGTGTTTTGGCTGTTTAATTGGGTGATATCTCAATGTAAAAGATCCTAATGGTTTAACAGGTGACCAATGACTGATTCTAAAGGCATTTTATGGTTTCTTAATGGGATCTAAAGGTGTTCTACAGGAAACTAGTGGTCTTCATTGGAAGCCATTAAGCCAATTCCCAAAATCATCATAGTGTGCAGGACACTGGCCCTCCAGGACCGGAGCTGTGTACCCCTGGGCTAAGAGGTAATATAAATTGTGTGGCAACTGACAGGCTATCAATTATAACTGTACCCCAGCACAGTGTACCTATAACTGCTTCTAACTGAGATCTGACACCACATGCAAAATGTCTCCATAACATTCAGGGTCATTAGTTCCCACTTGTGACATTAGTGCCCACTCTCCTCTTCAGATCAGCTCACAGATTTTCAGTGAGGTTTAGGTCCTGGAATTGGGATGACCACTGCAGAACCTTGATTCTGTGGTCAGTGAACCATTTTTGTATGGATTTGGATCATTGTCTGGAAGATCAAACCATGATCATATCTAAGCTTCCTGACAGTGGCAGACAGTTTAAGATCTACAATCTCCTGGAATTTCATGTCTGCAATGATGAGTAATAAGCAAGATTCTCAGGCCCTTAGGAAGAAAAGCAGACACACAGCATTACACACTCACCACCATACTTCACAATTAATTCCATTCTATTTATGAGGTGGCATCACGTCAATTCCAGTCTCTGACAACCATATTGTGCTTCTCTGTAAATGAGTCATTCTACAGAAACATCCATTTTTGTGTCCATAGCGTTTACAGATATATTACACTTGAAAAACATGTTAGGGTTACAATTTATTCATATTTTAAAATAAAACAATAGGTTATTTGAACAATTACACCTTCATTAACAATCAATTTAGCAATATTGGTTTTTAAATCAATTATATATATTCCAGGCACCACAGAAGTGCTCATCCTCACAGTCATGCGTAAAGGGTGAGAGCCATATTTTGACGTAAAAACCATGTTTTTTCCTCAATTTGAACTGCAATAATCTATACATGACTATGAAATATGTATATGAATTAAATGACATAAAGAAAACAAATGCCAAATAAATATTATAAAATATATATTGAAAGTTGCATAGTCGTGTCACTGGTGTTACTGCGTAACAAAAAATCTTTTATTTTGAAATAAAAGTCACACTGATGACATCACTTGACCTCCTTTTCCCTATTTCTGAAGATCTATGAAGAAAAGCACATGGTCCACTGTGTCTTTTCAGTTATCTGAAATGTTTTAGCTATGATTTCACATGAAACTTTTAGTTGACATCACTGGTGAGACCTACTTTATTCTTAGGTAATTGTGAAAAAATAGAATATAAATGGATTCAATTACATATTTTGGTGGATATTCCATGATTGAAAACATGTGGTTTGATGCTCTGTAGCAGCCATCACAAAATGTCACTGGTGTTACTATCTCTGATGTTTCCTTTCTTATGTGTAACACCAATGAGGATTTGTAACACTAGTGACTCCTATGGATGGTTAAAAAAGTGTACGTTTCTGTAGAATGACCCAAATATACTCACACATACTTAAATTCTTTTCTGCAAGACCTTCATTCTTATTACACCAAACACATCGAGAGGTCCAAAAAAGCTCTCAGCTCAACCTTTTGTCTTAATTGACCAAGGGACCAGTTTCCAATCAAGTTCTTTTTATGTCCAGCCAATGCCAGTCACTTACCTTTATGAGAGCAGCTTTCTTCTGGCAAGCTTCTCTTGGCATTAAGGTGGCATCTATAATTTTGGTGACCCCAGGATGCAGCCAAGAGAACCTTGGAGAACATTTTGCCATTTAAACTGTCCTCCTCACTGTGAGTGGTACCAAATTATGCTTGTGTTTGCTGCTCATCGCAGCTCTAGTTGTTTGCCCTCAGGTGAGATTCATGTGAAACTATTTCACAGCCATTGCCCGACTTATAAAGGTGAACCTTTGTTAAATTTTTATTTATCATGTTTTTTTTTCTGGTCTATACAAAAGTTGCCAGTCATTCTGAGGGGCCCTGCAATTCTTTAGCAATATTAAGTCCATACATGTCCATATTTATGCAAGTTCTACTGCCTCTTATCAGGGAGGGAGACACACAGGCAGCCACACTGAATTCATAAAATCAAACAGTGTCACTCTGACAACACCTACAGTGTTGATTTGGATAAAAGAAATAATGTTTTATTCACATTAATAACAGTACATTCGATTAATATATGTTTGCATGAGATACGGCGGTGCATTGCATAGTATACACGTTTTTACGTTTCTCTAAGGTTTCGTCTTTGTACATCAACAGTTAATTTTAATTTAGGATAAACAGCCAAAACAAAAGAAAAGAAACAAAAAGAAAAGAGCACTGTCTTATCTTATGGGCAGGAAGATACATTAGACATACTGACACATGAACATGAAACACTAAGGAGAGCTTTTTTTCATATTCTCTTATGCACTAAACTACTGCTTTAACTCACAATGCAGTCACTACAATACTCTTCCGCTTACAACCTCTTTTTTGTGCTGCCTTCTCCTTCTTCTCCTGGTTGATTGTTGCCTTAGTAACCCGCATCTGTCAGTCTTCAGTAGTGCTTACTCCTGGACATTCAAGATCTGTGCAGACAGGCCGTGGTGCCAATTTTTCAATTTGGCAAATCGTGGGCCTTTTACTTCGGATTCAAACCTCTCCCTGTGCAAAGAAAAGTGGAGTGGAGAAAACGAGGAATATTAAGTTTAAGGTTATTTAAAACTAGACCCAAAGTGTGCTTTCAACCACGTTGGGCCCATCTGTCTCTTGATATACATAATATAGTGATAAAGCAGTTTAGAATACCTTGATTTCCTGAGAGCCTCCTCGTCTGGGTCTTGCACTGAAAGCAACAGAAGATAAATAAGTCCGTGCTGACTGAGCATATGCAGGATGACATAATTTCATAATCATATGCCATCAAATGCTAGTCCAAACATTCAAGCATCGTGAAGGAAGACAGACTCTACTTACGGTACTCGGTCCCTGTGATGTGGGCGAGGATGCGGAAGGACTTGGACTGCAGGTTGGCCGCACGGCGAGCCCAATCAGAGATTTCGTTCTCCTTGTCCCCTGATTTTATCACAGCTTGGTAGACTGGAGAGGCGCTGTCCACCAGAGGATCTTTGATGGGGAGTGTACTGTCCCCAAAACAGAAAGAGAGGGAAATTGACAGATCAAACGAACATTTGTTAATGTAAAACGTGTTATTTACCATAAATATATAGTAATTCATCCATGAACGCTTTTCTATAAGATAAATAACTCTCTACTTTTTTTCTCTTTTTTATAGCAATTCCATAAGCAATCGTATAATGAACTCTATTCCAGTGTGCATAATGATCATAAAAGCCCAAAGCATGTATTCAGTCAACTTTTTGTGACATGTTAGATGTTACAGTATATCAAGGCACAGATGTACTCAGAACATTCCTTTATAGTCTGCACAGGAGTCTGAACACAGTGTTCACTGCAGATATTTCCGGGCATCTCATAAGTTCTTTGAAGGTATTCATTATTCTTGGTTATTCTAAGATTATTGATTATTATTCTATAATATAAGTAGAAAAAAAAACAAGGGGAGGGTATGCCTGGGTGTTTTTGCAACCAACCATTGATAACGATGAATGCACACTCGAGATGAGAAGACAAAGCCGAGCATATGAGATGGTTCTGGATAGACAGTGTTTACTTACGCCAAAGGAGATCCGGAAGTAGCGTCCTCACCACTGACAGCCACATGATGAACCGAGATGGGGAGGGGCAATACGGGGCCATGTCACACAGGGGGAGGGGACAAGTAGGGTGGAGCAAGGATGAGGAATATAGTGTGGTTGGTTTGTTGGTTGGTTGGTTGGTTGGTTGGAGTGGATGGTGAATGGAGTGACACATTTGGAGGGAGAGGAAAGGAAAGGAAAGATGAGGTTGACGCACACACACACAACAGCATGGGAGGCTGAACATTGACTCTACCCCAATCTCACTTTTACTCAGTTGTTCTCTGGGTCTTTCAAACTGGAGACAAATTCACTGCAAGGCTGAGTACTTTTATATGTGTGTGGTGCAAAAGTTAACAGTACTGGTGGTAATGTTAGAGTTGATCAATGCTGCCGCCTAGTGTGAAAATCTAGGAACACACTCTGAAGTGAATTGAACCCCAGTTACTGCGTTTTGTCTACACTTTATTTCTAAGAGTGTAGACGAAAGTTCGGTTGGAAAGTGGTTATTCAATGCTCATTAAAAAAAAACGGTTGGCATCTTTATTTTTAAGATTGTACATGGATCAACATATTGGTGGTCATGGGGCTGAAGAGAATCAATGATCAATGATGCCCTCTTGTGTACAAAGCTGGGAAAACATTTGCATTTTCCAGTGGTGTGTTGACTCAAAACAGACCAAATAATGGTGTTTGACCCAGAATCAAATTTTCACACTAATTAAATATTTTCTTCTATCTCTAATAGCAGAGACAACTCAGTATTTAGTTAATCATTGACCCACAAGTGAATTTGAATATACTGAACTGACAAGAAATGAAAAAATTAATCACATTGTGATGTTCTCGTGCCTTTTCTCTGCCTTTTTGTGCCTGTTACCCCTGCTAAAAAAGACAGCACAGACCAGGGTGAATTCTATGCTGGTCTAACCTGATTTATGTTAATCTGGTGCTGGTTTAGCTGGTCACCCAGCATGCTTATGTGGGTTGACCAGCATATCAGCATCCTAAACACACCATATGATGGTTTTAATGGTGATCAGCTATGCTGTTTTCTTCTAGCAGGAACAGCAATCCTATCCGAGTACTAGGGCTGTTTAAGAAGTAGGGGCCGAACAGCTTTGGCTGAAGAAGCTCACCTCAAGTCGCTGCCTCTTGCCTGAGCCTGGCCGGCGATGGCGTCCATGATGGCGTCCTGTGAGTACATGCTGATAGGAGTGTTGTACTGGGCGTGGATGATTGTGGCCTTGCCACCAGGGCCCTTCACTTCTATGGGCTTGTGAGTGGACAGAGCAGAGTCCTTCAGTGCAATAGGATTGAAGCTGGGGATGTACTCTTGGCTGTCATTGATCAGGTAGGCAGTGAGCAGGAGGCAGGGGAGGGGACGTGTCCAGGTTTGGGTTCACAGGTGGGTGGGGATGGTTGGAAGATATGGACAGAAAGAGCGTGATGTTTATAGTAGCAGACTGAGTGTCGACTTACCTTTAGAATCTAACCTCATTAAATCCAGATATTTGTTAATTTACTGCATAGGAATAACGCAACTATAATGATCCACTCAGTCAACACTGACTGACTTTTATGCTAATTAGCTAGTTGACAGCAAAGAAACCACAACACACAACAGTACAAACTAAAGTAAAGGCAAATGTAGCATGCAGATCAATCATGGTCAGTTTCACCCTAGTAGAGGGATGCTGATAAAGTTACACAAAAAACACAGCTTTACATTTACTGTATAATTAATGCACATGCTTTATGCTTTTACTGTACGAGTAGCTTTTAAGAGCATCCTTCAGTTTTTGATACTGCATGTGGAGAGAAAATAACATGCAATATTTCACCACATTGCACATTGCGAGCCTCAAGCAAATATGCAATGTAAACATCCACGTAGTTATTTCTGTACAACATTCAGAATTCTCAAAAAGGACTTATCCTCTGTATTTCCCAATGCATTAGAGAACAAGCAAATAAAGACCCTTCAAATGATTCAAGGCCATGGAACCATGCTTGTGAACGCACATACACAAATGTACGCACACATACACATACACAAACACACAAACTTTGAAGATAGTACACTCAGGAATTGTACTGACTTGGCAGCTGTGTTGGCAATGACCTGGGGCAAAGAAATAAGACATAGACAAAGAGAGACAGAAGAATCAGTGTTAGCTTTTCTCTAGTACTGTGGTCATAGAATAGAATTCCCTCCAGCAACGAGTGAGCTAATGAAAGAAAGAATAAAATGTGAGTTCACTTTTTTATTTCTTGTCCCCAGGAAGAAGCGCAACAATTATCTGACCACACGACAGGACCCATAAATATTCAAATGGCGTTTTCTCTTGTCACATGATGGAAATAATGGTTATTATTGGTGCGCTTGTCTCATAAGAGTGACATTCCAGTTTGCCTACAGAGTGATTGACTGGAACAGGAGTTGGGCTTCAGCAGCATAGCCAGGAACATGAAGAGCTGAGCCATCTCCTAGAACCAAGCTAGATTTACATATCGTCACTGTCATAATTAAACCTACATATAAACCTGTATATATATAAAATCTATAAATATCTGAAATGGTAACTTTATCTTTTGAAAATTTAAAAAAGGATCCTTTCTCAAACGCATCACAGTGTTTAGTTCAGCTGTTCCCCTAATTGAGAACTGATTGTTCAAAGCTTAAAAATAATCACATCATTGTTCATGAAGATATGTGTAAGGGAAATTCCATCAAATTTTCAAAATTTTAGCTTAATTCAATCATTAAGATGTAAACAAAGTCATTCTGATTGGTTTGATTTAAAATGCTCTATTCTAGAGAGATGAGCCAGAATTGTTCACAGTGGCGATGTTCGAAATTCATAGAAACACTGGTTTACTTTAGTTTTGATAAAGTTGTGGCCTGAAACATATTTTTAAAATCTGTTCAAGGTGGAGAGGAACATGTGGAGCATTGTAAGGCAAAATAGTCCCCCAAAAAATTCACTACCCTTCTTTTATCATTATCAACATTACATATAAAAACTCATTGACGTTTGGTTTTGGACAGTAAATAAAATGGCTATATTTGCATTGTAGACATTGCAAGTCCTGGTTCCTGTCAACACCACTGTGAAGACATCTGATTCGTTAAATTTCTCTACAATTAACCACTTTACATTAAACCACTGTGAATGAGTTCGTTTACATCTTAAGTATTGAGTTATATCGAAATTTTTTAAATTTGGTGGAACTCCATTTTAACCTCAGGGTCATTTGTTGATGTTGATGTTATAATTATGTTATAGTCAAGCTTTATGCAATTTATTAACGATTAGGTTAACAGCCCAACTAAACACTGTGATCTGTTGGGTTTAAAGTGTAGACAAAACACATTATATATCATCAAATGTATAAAGACTGAATCTGAAAAAAGGAAAGCAAAACTTAATGTGCACATGGACACTTCAACAGGGCATGTGGTGTTGCTGGTAGGATTTCCGTTCCTCTGCCCTGCAAATAGAAAGTGGAATATATGATGGGATAACTGCAGTAAGACATGATTTGGGATACACTGTAACAAGAGCTGTGACATTCCAGATCCTCAGGGTAGGTCACTCCTCTGTACAGTCATGATGAGCACATCCCTCATGGCACAGGGTTTGCCTTTGTGCCAGGTCTGGGTCACATGTGAATGTGCCCTCACGTTTCGAGACCGCCCAGAATAGACACACCTTTGCACTGAGTACCACCAGGCTGTCAGAACACAGATGGACATTGGCTTCCAACTTCATGAGGAAATGTTCCACTAAGTTGGACTAATGTCCATTGGCAAAGCTGGATTGCACTCACATTTGCAAAAGGGAACATCATCTCTCATCATTAAGGACAGATCGTGGTATAATCTACAACCTGAAGCACGTCAAGCATGGCAATATAACGAGAGGCGACGCAGCCCTGATGGGATCAAAATAACTGGCATATGTGGTCATTTGGAAAAGAGCTAAGAGTTGTACATGCAGAAATGGCTTCACTAAGGGGCCTGTTCGGATTACGGTCAGCAGGAAGAGGGCCAGGTAAACCAAGAGTGCTTGCCCACTGAGCACATTCCCAGCTGAGCACTAGCATGTGAGAATGGAATGTGCAGAGGTAATTACGGAATGTTCTGAGTATTCTTTGCCACAGTCCTGTTGAACAGGACACTGGGGGTGTGCAGGTAAGGCCAGCCAACACCCCCCCTTATGTAGTGTTAGTAAAGTGTTATCGGTGGCTGAATTGTGGATTCAAACAACAAGGGCAGTCATAGTGGTTGGTTATGAGCTTAATTTGTTACTTTTAAACCCAGCTAAGAAAACCTTTTTGGTTTGCTCACATCTATTTGTTTATATACATTTTATAGTTGGAACGTGCTGTTTTGACATGAATAACTCCTGAAACTTACAAAACCCTGATATTGTGAACATTTCTGTACAATAATATGATTAAGATGTAAAGAAAGTTATTCAGTGGTTTGATGTGAAATGTTCTGTTCTAGGAAAACTTCACAGGGTGGTGATAGGAACCAGAGCGCCTCTAAAAGCTACAACACAGAAAGTTATTACATATTATGGTTACAAATACACTGCCTAATGCATGAGACATTGTTTTGAGATAAGGTTTTTCATTTTTCAAATGCATACAGGTCAAAGAGTTACATGTAGGGTGCTGTGAGGGGAAATAATTCCCAAAGAAAAAAAACATTTCCAGATATATTACTTTTTTATCATTATCAACATTACATCTACAAAATCAGTAGACACATGTAAATTCACTGGTCATTTTTTTATAGTTTCCTTAGATAAAATGGATATATTTGCATTGCAAACATTGTGAACCCTGGTTCCTATCACCACCAGTGTAAAGGAGTCGGAGTCCATTTTTTATAACTTTGTTTACATCTCAACAAATTCATTATGCAGGAATATTTTAAGAATAAATGGAATTCCCCATTCATTCAAAGGGGATAAGAAGAGGGATGGTTTTACAAAGGGGACCATTTTTGCTGTTAGCAATGGAAACTGGGTAGATTAAGATGGGTGATAGTTGGTCGGGTAAAGATACTTGGGTTGAATCTTGTAACATTACCTACCCTAAGAATGTCATGCCATCTAAGGCACCCTGCTGTAGGGCCAGCTCCTGCACAGTCTGTGCAGAGTACAGGCCTATAGGAGAGTTATACTGCCACCTCTGACTGGGAGTGATTTTTACCCCACTCACAGGGAACATGTACACAGACGAAGGTGTTTTAGCAGGTGTACTGATAGCTGGTAGGGGAGTAGATGTGACCTCTGATTGTTCTTCAGCTTTTGGAGCTGGTTCCACCTTGTTTTCTGGAATGAGTGACTTTTTGGAGGGTTTTTTGGCCAATCGAATGCCAAATCTTTTCACAGGAGCTTCATCTTCCTCTTCTTCCACAGATTCCTTAGTGATTAATAAAATAATGGGTAACATACAGTATAAAAGCACAATTGAAAGAGAACATAGCTGCTGAGTGAAAGGCACTGAAGGAGAAAGGAAAACATTAGAAAAAAATCATGAACCAGTGAGACAGTTCTGCAGTTCTGACAGGATAGCCTTGTAGCTACACCTAGGAAAGAGTTTGTGCTTTTATCTGATATTGCATCACCAGCAAGGCCCTTTAGAGGGAGCCAGCATTCAACCAAGAAAAAAAGTGCATCTGACAGCATATTACATATTCCCATTTCAACCGGTAACCCTTCTCTGAGCTGGGGAACTCCCATGGCTTATTATGTAGCTTAGATGAAATTACTTGCCTGAAGCAAGTGCAGTATTCTCTCTGAAAAGTTCAGCAAATAATCTTGCCCTTAACATTTCAATACTGACTGTAAACACATGCTCATATCTTGAGAGCAGACTGTACAGTGTCATACACTTTCATTGATGGACATGGTACAACAAGATTGCTGCACAGGGGTTAGCATTTCAGTGTGAGTGAGTGGGACGTTACCTTCTGATGAGGAATAACTGGCATGGGTGAGTCCACTCTTGGTGTAGCTGTGGGCACAGGGGCTGGACGTCTTGACCTGACAGGACCAAAACAGTCAAGGCAGTCATATGCAAGCTCAGTGGATTTAAATGCTTGTACAAATACTGTGCATTATATTTAGAACTGAATGATATATATGCCTACATAAAGTTGTTTCTTCCAAATGGGTCAGTACCAGTTACTGAAGCCAGGGGTGAACGTACTTTTCCAACAGACAAAATAAATGACAGTTTTAGTTCTATTATGGAATGTTTTTCTATACATACTGCTTATCTTATCTCATTACTGATTTTATATATATATATATATAAGATTTTATATACATATATATAAAATCAGTAATCGTAATTTACTCTTAGGCTATGTACCTCATTATAACACATTTAATTAGGAACATAATAGCTTTTCAGAACTGTCGCAAAATGTATCCTTCAGCACACAAAGAAATTACAAGGTAAGCTTTATGTAAGCTGGCGCCAAGGATTCTTCCAACAAAGGTGCTGTTTTCATTTTGTCCAGCCAAAAGCAAAGAAATACAACAGCAAGGTTGTTTTGCAACAAAAGCATTCATGGATAACTCAGTTCAGCTCACAGTTAACAGGTTTTTCTCAAGGCAGAGGATTGACTTTTAATGGTTTTCCTTTCAGGAATCGTGTCCTTCAACAGTTTATGAAGCCAAACATACACCTTGACTCTGGATTGTGGCTATTGTGACTGGTCTCATCCAGTCTTTTGAAAGGAGATGGGAGGTTAGGAGGGTCACTTCACAAATGCCTTCTTGCATTTAAAAAGCTGTTCACTTCAAACTACCATAGCAAATCCACTGTGACCTTTGCCCTAGTCTCAAGTAATAATCAGACCCCTCCCTCTGATATAGATATGTTTTAGTTACTGATTATTCTAATTGTAGTCTAGTAGATTATCCAGTTTATTATTCAAATTTTCCTAAACATATATACTGTCAGTATGATCTTTTCACTTTTTTCTTCTTTTTTTCTCAGGTAGTTTTGCTTTAAAACTGTGTTGGAAACGATTGATTAATTGATTGCTCAACGGACCGACAGACAGACAGATAGCTAGAACAAAAGATAGACAGATAGACAGACAGACAGACAGACAGACAGACAGATAGATAGATAGATAGATAGATAGATAGATAGATAGTTATTGAGTCATGTACCATTTTCCTTTGTCATTATAAGAGTCAGAACAATTAGCTGAAAACACTGACACTAACAAATCTGCATACAGCAACACCAGTGAGGCTGTTAAAGTAACAGGCATTCTGCATTTTCAGAACCTATCATCAAGCATTGAATATGCACAAGGAAAAGGGATCGACTAACACAGACTAACTGGCCAAATATATCCATCTTTTCCTAGGAGGCTTTGATCAGGGAGGGGAAAGGTTGCAGAGAAAGAAGGAGAGGGCAGGCTGTGTTTGTGAGGCGTGAAAAAGTCTTGTTAAATTAATCTTGCTGAAGAAGATCTGAACTGCCTTTGGAGGACATATTCCCTATACAGCTCCCTAAAATGGAATAAATCTCAGTCTCACCTAAACGCCTGTCAGAAACCTGCTTGGTCTAATGTGTGCCATTCACACATGACTGTAAAAATGCTCAGAAGCTGTCATGTTATGGATCTTATTTGAGCATGCGACTTATGTCTCAACTCATGTTAAGGTCAGTCATATATGGTTATGTTGCCAGTGAGTTAACTCATTCATGTCCAACAACTAAATTTAGTATGATCAGGAAACACACAACTTGTTCTGATTGGTCTAAAGTGATGAAAGTTGGTGTGGTTGTATTTTGGATAGATGGTTGACATCTAACAGCACCCATTTAGATTTGCTTGTTTACTTGTATTTTGTACTGTTATCATGATCAAATTTGTAGTCCCATGTGACCAAAAGAGCAGATTTAATGTGATAAGTGATTAAAAACTCACTAGCTATACACTTTGATCTGACTGATTGATTAGTAGGTGATGAAACTACCCATCTAATGAAAAATGCAGATGCTTTGCTATATTTATCTCTCTTTGCGTCCGTCCAAATGTGGGAGCTTTTATCTGGACAATCATGAAGGCAGGGACTACCTGGAAAATCAATAAAAGAGAGGACTTTCTAGTGCTGAGGCTGCGATTTATGTCCCTAAGAATCATTCAGCACAAGAGTAGCAGTAAGGAAGAGCAGCTTAGGCTGAGCTAGTAGAAACCCAGCCAGAGAGCCAGAGGGAAATGTCACAGGCAAGCAGTGGTATTTAAGAGAGCAACACTTCTTCTCCTTCTACAGAAGCTCAGACTGCTCCATGGAAGTGCTTAATCTCCTTTGGTCAGAGCTGACAGAGGGTCCATGTACTGATTAAAAAGCTGAAAAATGCTTGTTTCCCTTCTCTTTCCCCCCTAAATCTCATTGTTTTAAATGTATACATACTAGCAGCAGGTAAGGCTATGGGATGTGATGGTGATTTCTCATGGACATGTCTCTGAATTACAATGGCATTTCAGAAAAGCATGTGTGCTATCTTTCATTCCGGCTGAACGCCAGCTCAACTGTGACTACCTTTATCCCTCATGGGGAGGTTTTTAATTGTGTAACACTTTTAAATGCTTGATTTCCCCCAGCAGTATGAAATATTTTTAATAAAAGTGTATATGATGGATTGCTGGTGTCTCTGTTGAACATCTACACAGTGGCTGAACCATAAAACAGCGAGAGGATGGAGAGAGACTCAGTGAGTGAGAAAGGGAGTTTGAGAGATGGATAGAGAGAGACTGATAGAGAGAGGGGGGGTGGGTCTTACTGAATGTGTGCATATTATTTACTTTTGCATGCTGAGGCTCAGTTTGTTGATTGCTATTTTGATCTTGTTCTGAGCATCCAGGTGGGTCATGCCCTCAGTGCTGACCCCATCGATGGCCATGATGATGTCACCTTGGGTCAGGTTTCCATTGGCCGCCTTGCTGCCCGGTGTGATCTGTGGACATACACCACAAGCATCTGTTATATAACTACTTTGGCTGCAAATACCACAAACTGTATCATTCAGGATATTATCAATCAGTGACAACAGCCTTATTTGTATAGCACCTTTTTATACATGTAATGCAACGTAAAGATCATAAGTGCATAAAGCAGTAAACATAAAACTGTTATACAAACACATATAGACAGAAGATGTGAAACAGTAAACTGATCTTTGAGTTCAGCAATTCTAACAACAAAAGTGTTTTAGAAGAGCAGGAAAACATCAGTATTTCTCAGTTTTGACTTAAACACACAACTTCAGGTGTTTAGAAAGCTTTTAAAGTTAAAGAGTAAGCTGTACATGTACCACAGTTCCAGTTTTTTGCTTTGCATTTTTTGTTGAATAAAGCTTGTTGAACATTGGGAGAAGTAGTTCTCTATGTGGTTTCTATGGCTTAATTTCATTTTCTCTACATATGCCAAGGATGGCATTTATTCCTATCACACCTGAATTAAGAGACTTTCCAAATCTTCAGATTTGAACAGCGAGCGAAACTTCATCTTGCTTTGGGTTGGTAGCTTGGCTTACAGGCAGCTCATTAAAGGTTAAAAATAAAGAGTGTTGTTGACGGCACCAGCCTCCCTCCATCTGAGCCTTTGGGCTGAGGCCCCTGCTACATTACTCTCCCACCTGCTGCCATTACTCAACATACTCTCTCAGGAAGACCAGCACCCAACAAACATGTCAGCAATCAACGTGTTTCATTAAAGGGAGAATGTTATGATTTCTCCAGCAACTGATCATTGTAGCCACAAAGCGCACTCAGATGTACAATATTTTATCCTTGCTATCGGATAAAAAAATGTCCAGTTTTGTTTTTTGGTTTTTTTTTCATTTTTTCTCTCTTTTTTTACAAGATCTGAAAGGACCAGCTGATCTTTGTGCCTACTGTGTGAGGATTTCATAATGAATGGATGAAGAGAATGCTTAATTTTGACTTTTGAATTTTAACTTTTTTTTAAGTTACATTAACAAATGAGAAGTTAAAGTTATAAAGTTAACATTTTGGAGACATACATACAAGCCTGCAAGGTTTTTTTTTTTTTTAACAATAATCATGCTGTTTTGTTTCAATCTATTTTTTTGTTTGTTCGAATTTTTTAACTGGTTTTGGGATAGTGGAACGTCATCAACAACGCTACCTCTCTGGGCCAAAAGCCTTTTGCGTTGTCATTTCCAGAGACTGTCCACTTAGTATTGCGAAGAGCCTTGATGCTGTTGAAAGATAATGCTATGCTCACCATAGAACCATATATACACTCATCATGGAGGTGCATCATTTAGTGGCACCCTCCACCTCCCAGTCCCCCACCTACCAAAGCAAATTCAGCTGATGTTTTCAGTGGACTAAGATTTTATCTAAACAAATGTCATGCTTTCCCATGCTTTTAGTCTTCCTTGACTAGTAGGAAACAAGACATTCAACTCCTGCACAGTTTCAAAGCATATGTCAATGTTTACAGTCCAAGGCATCAAGCTCATAGGTAGAAGGATAGAAGGATAGGACTAGGATAGGGCTAATTAAAGCTGATAAAACTGTCAAAGTGACAAGTTATGTAAAATATAAGAATCTAAAATATGATTTTTTTTTGTTTTAATATATAATACCACTGAATGTATGACAGTCCACTTTTTTGGTATAATTGTATGAAACTATATAGGCTATATGTATTGAGTTGAACTATATAGCTTGCATGTTTCTGAGCATGTACGTAGGTCTTGTGGAGTAGTGGCACTGTGTGAGTCCAAACTTAGGAAGAGCTCCCACCACCAGTCAGTAAAGTTGTTTCATTAAGGAGAGACATCTTGGACAATGAGGCTTATGTAATGTAATCTAATCGGAATCAATTGCACTCATACTGATGCCATATTCAGATAATTTGAGATGCACTCCCAAGTTCACAAGCATTAATGGGTATCTAAGCTTTAGCTGGCTGAAGTGTTTGCCTGTGGGCTCTGGGCACTGTCACATGTCAAAAGTCCCTCCATGCTACTTTCATAAAATTCCCCTCAGGAATCAAGGCTGAACAGCTCTGGCCTTATAACTCTGAGTGCTCTGTGGAGATGCCTATTGGTTGGGAGAACGCTCTGACACTCTGTTAGATTCACTGTGGGGAACAGAATGAGCTTCACACTCTTCCTCCTCTCTCGTTCTCATAACCTCATGATATTTTTTTCCTCATTTGGATCATTATATGAAATTTTAATAATGATAAACAGTAAATTAGCAAATGTGCAAATACTGTACTCATATTTAAAGGAAATGTATTCATCATTTATATGCTGGATGGGGTCATAAGGGGGAATGTGCTGTAAATAGACTGAATTGCTTCTCTCTACTCAGGAATATCATTCTTTGTTTTTCATTTAGTTGCCTATCTGACCAAAACAGATGTGAAAACCAATTAACTGCTACAAGCAATATATAAAATGTTGACACCATGGTGGGATTTGAGAAGGCTTTACTGCTGGCCCAAATATCTTAACAGTTGAGGGATTTATGAATTAGTTCCTCTCCACACTACCCTGTCACATATTAAATGCTAAGACAACTTCACTCAGTGTCGATTAATATTTATATTTTACATAAGCATATAATAGAAGCAGCAAAGTGCTGTAAATTTGAGCGAACAGTGAGATACGGTTATGGGCAGCTAAATGTCAGCTTTAATTAGCGTACAGCACTTTGGGAGCGACTTGCCTAAATGTAAAGTTTGGAGTGCTGATGTGGTGACCGCTGTAAGAGTTCACATGACCTGTATAAGGTGTTATATTCATACAGCACTCAATTATCCTGTGCTGTAATTATCCTGTGTGAAAGAGCTGTTTGCTAGTTACAACTGTCCAAACATTCACAGAAGCCTCTGCGCAGCATGCCACCATGCTGGTATGGCCCTGACCCCAGCCACCCACAACTTACCCCTAACGTGACAGAGCATTAAGAAGTATTAAGAAGAGACACTGACATGGTGACAATGTAACCGTTCACATGCAGGGAATGCTGTAAATAGGAAAGGCTCAACCGATTATGTTGATGCAAAATAATCTAGTTTTATACTGTATATTTCAATAAATAGCCAGTGTCTTGAATAGCAATCTTGCAGGAATAGTTCATTTTATCCATCTGATCTATAATGTCCTTTTTTCAGAGTATATTGGCACTTTACAGTGCTGCACTTTAATACAGTTCTCAATAATAAAGTGCGAGATAACGATTGAAATTGGTTCTCTTTAAGAAGACATTTAATACTAGCACCTCTTCTGGTATCAGAGGGTTTTTTCACTGAGCTGTCCAGTGCTAGCAGTTCCCTGACAAAATCTCCACTCTTCTGTTTCTAAATACTTCATTACTGAGGGGGAATCTGTCAAAGCTCTTATCAGTCCTGTGGCTGAAAGTTACTGTTGTGGCCAGGCTTCTTATCATAATCCAAGTTTCATTTTACCCCAAATCCATTTCACACACACACACACACACACACACACACACACACACACACACGCACACGCACACACACTAAAACACTGCATCAGTGAAAATGTGTTCATCTGAAATGGTTACTCAGTCCAGTCTTTCTGAAGCCTGTCTGAAAAGAGACTGATCTTGCACAGGTGTAACCATCAGTTATCCAGGACAAACTATTGTCGGTGTGCCATGCATATTTATGGACACCAAATCAGCCTGTGCTGGCCTGACCTTTGTCTAATGTTAGTCACCATGTGTCCAGCAAACCAAACTTGAATGGCAGGGTGAATGAAAGCCAGAACTATTGTTACAGGAAACCTATGTCTTTTTGCCTCTGAGCAAAAGTCAAAGCAATTAAACTAAAGAACTTTACATGACTGTCAAAGTCTTTTATGTACTATGACTGTTTATAATGTCTGTCATATAAAGGCTATTGGCACATCTTAATTAAAAGTGGATCATAGTTATAATGAAAAACAGAAAGCTGTAAAATAGAAAGCAGGGAGAATGTTTTAAGAATGACATTTCCAAAGGTCATTTCCCAGGTGCAAATCCATTTGTCAACAAACATTGTACATCATCTCGAATCCTACAGACGTATCTTGATCTATGGTTCTTCTTTTTTGCCTTACACATGGACCCAGTGGTTACCCAGAGACATTGCCATATTTATTCAAATTTCATTTCATTTATTCAACTTATTTAGACAGATTTCGTCTCATTTGTGTTGGCAACAAGACCTTATTTGTTTGTGTCATAGATTTTTATTAATTGGACATATTCTACATGTATCTTGTATATAATATTCTCCCTGAAGGCCACTTTAATCAAAATTCATTTTACATGACCATGATTTTCCAACTTCTCTTTAAACAGGTATTACTGTGCCTTTAAGACTGATATATATTATAGCTGTCCAAAAACAAACAAACAAACAAACAAAAAATGTCTATATATATTTGCTAATTTGGCAGCCATGTATTGTGACTGGTTCAAAAGGTAATCTGAGCTGTAGCACTTCTTATTAAATATGAATGGGTGGGGGCTAAACTGCTGTAGGCTGACTGAATAGATATATGTAAATGCATTTGTTTTGTATATTTAAATGCATTGGTTTTTTAACATCATTAAAATAACTTATTTAAAATGGACCTTTTACAACTGGAAATGGGAATACAACAGTATTACCAGATATTGCAGACCAATGCAATGACCTATACTAATCAGCTGGAGTCCATTGGAAATCAGTCTTCAGGGCTAAGATAGTGATTCAGCACCGATTGTTCAGAAACCTTCAGTGAAATCTCAGGTTTCATCTTTTTATGCTGATTGCAGTAGGCAGACTCTCCTGTTTGTACACTCTCATCTCTCTGAGCACAGAACACTAATCACTCATCTCGAAGCTGCCATCTGATGCACAACTGCGGCTGATCCAGCTTCACACACATTGCAACCATTTAAATCCACTGGAGTCGATTGAAAAACGTGTAGGGAAGGCTTTACTTATTGATGGAGGCATCAATCAGAAGAGTTGACTGTGGTCTCAAAGTAAACACAAACTAGCCAGATTGGAAAACTAATAGCAATCCAAAACTGACATCATACAGGACATTCAGTGACGCTGTTTGAACTAAGTGCTAAAACCATCAGGCTAATGCCTTAGGCTGGACTTTTATTTCAAAATGACAGAAGTAATGATTGACCCTTTTTTTAAAGTAGGATCCAATATGTTTCCACTCTCAGTGTCCACAGTGTAATAACTGCAGTGCACTGCCTGCAACTGATTATGTAAGGTGAGAGATTTCCTTGTGCAGCAGATAGAAAATCATCATGTGGTAGAACACTAGGTTCTCATTCAGCCTCTCGTGGTTTTATTCAGACCACATACTTTAGCATGGAGGTGAATGTCTGAAACAACACATAGTAAAATTACTGCTGTTATTATTATTTATACTAGTCATCGCGTAATCTTCCAATTATTTTCCTGAAAAATATAATAGTAACCAGGTTTTAAAAAATCAGTTATGTTTTATTTAATCAAGTAATCAAGTTAAAATGATTAATCACAGTCCTAAATACAGTTTGTGGTATACTTGGTCAGTAAGATAAGTTGTTCATGGAAAAATGACATTAGGTACTGAATATAAAAGATAAAAGCTGAAATTACAAGCAGTTGACAATGAAACCTTTATCTGTCATCTGGTTGAGTATCAAGAATATCAAGAATTCAGCATGAAGAATGTCAAGGGGGAGGGGAAACCATCTCACTGCTCTTGTTTGACTGTTTGACACTGTCCAGAATGTCATTCATGACATGCTGTATCCTTTCATACTGTCATATAGGCTCTGCAATGCAGAACAAAACCAAAACAAGAGTATAGAGGCCAGATGCCAGTTTCTATTTACCTGTTCAGTTCAGCTCTGCACTAGTTCAGCTTGGCCAGCTTTCAACCAGATAACACTGGATACTAAAACTCCCATTTCCATCAGTATCTGGTTTCTTGGAAAACAGATGCTATTTTAGCAGTTATGCTCAAGAGCCCTGAGCTAAAATGTAGTCCGTCATCTGTGAGTAATGAGAACTCAAATGTCTTTCTGCGAAACATGGCATAAAAGTCACAACAAGCCTTCAGAACATACTAACAGCAAGGAGAGAAAATATACACTTCTAAGCGAGTGACCTAACCATGACACGAGGCCATTAAGCGTTTAGGTGCTGTCAAGGCAACAGAGGTGTTTTTCTGCAGCTTAGATCAGCTTCACACATGATCAGATAGGCCCTTGTTTAGATTAGGCATACCCTCTCAAATGCAAATGAAGGCTGGCAGATGAATAAAGCACATGCTATTTGGCCAGACAAGCTGATGAAACACAAGGCCCTAAAAGAAGACACACAGATAAAAACCAAATACTGTGTCCATCAGGGAGGCCTGTGTAATGTGCTCGACCGCACGTATCTGGGCTTCTCACTTTTCACTTCACTTAACCACTGCCACACATGCACACATTCGTTTTCTCAAAGGCTGCCTCAACTATTGCTATTCATAGAGCTCACTGTAAATACATCATGGCACTTCTCACCAGGCCAAAACTGGTTAGATAATACTGGGATGGTCCAAGACAATAACAGACACAACAGCAGCTGCAAAGCAGGGTTATGTAATCACTACATATGGATATAGATCCAGTAAATTGTGGTTAATTGATCGGTACAAGTTAAAATCTGTGAAATGCATAAACACTGGAGAGTGGCATTTTGTCATCTAAATGGACGAAAACTGTAGTTTGTACATAGATAACTCAAGGTATAATACATTGTTGGTAGATTATAATAGTTAAAACAAGTGTTTAAGTATCGTTAGAGTACATATTGCATATTTTACATGATTGGCTTACCCTTGAGATTGTAAGGGGCATGTTGAAGTCTTTGCCTCCCTGCAGTCTGAAGCCCCATGGTGCAGGTCCATTCAAAGTTATTGTGTAATTGCTCATTTTGTGGAGAGTTTTGGGTCAAGTAACTCCTTTGTTTCTTTGTAGCTCTTCACCCTGGAGTGGGGACGAACACCCGGGGACGGGCAGGCGCCGAGGAGCCTCTAAAACACAATAACAACAACAATGGACAGCGATATTGCAGGAGTGAGCGAGGCGAAGCACAGCCAGTCAACAAAATCGCTGTCAGCACCGGACACAAGACAAGTAATCTATCCTAATGTAAAGAAACCCCACCCCTTCTAATACGCCAACATTAACATGACTGATATATTAACCACACCCTTGTTTACATGAACAAAATAAGTCAGAAAAAGAGTTGGAAAACAGAAAGAGAAGAGATCTTGCCTGCGCGGATGGCCTGGACAGACAGCCTAAGAATAGCCCCCCACTGCAGAAAGCGATAGCACTCTAGACCTTGGGGCCCTTATATGGCATGTAAGGGGACACCCCCGGATACCAAGCCCCTATGATTCACTGGGCGAATATAGCCAACACCTTTTTTTTTTCACTCTGCCCCCTGTGGGCATCCACTCTTTGGGCAAAGTGCACCCCACAGGAGTGGGAAGAAACCTATAAACAGGAAAGAGTGATTTCTTTAAGCAAGAGAGACACTGGAGGCAAGGACATCCACCTACAGAACAGTTTAGAACTGGTACATCATACACACATGCCTGATGTTCTGCTGTGGGATCACAATGTATCTCAATGTTCCTCTGCAGCTTTGACAGCAACACATTGCTGCCCCCTTTCCTCAGAGGATCCACTGAAGTCCAGTCTCATCATCCAGTCTTAGCAAGTTAAGCTGGTTCAAAGAGAAGGTCATATCAGATGGTTTCACACAGTGTCAGACTGAGTAATTAAGTCTGTGTTCTCTTCTTATCCTTAATAACCTTGGATTGATAAGTCCTCTATCAAGGGAAGTCTCCACCCATGCAACCATATGGAAAATTAGATGATCAAACGCGTATGCAGTACACACTATATGCACATATGCACCAGTGATGAATATCCCACATGCAAGTTTCATAAAATTACTTTATGTGATTTTTGACATACCATAAATCACTGTAACTTGTGAATACTAATTAAAAACATATCACATGGCCCATCTTTTTGGGTTAGTACAGCGATTAACCCTTAGAGCGTGCAGTTATCAGTGGGAATAGCAAAGGCTTTCTGTAGTTTTATATTCATTATTTCTCATTTGTGGCTCATTAAAACAAGCAGAAAAATTCTGTTAAATTCTAAACTTTAGATTCTAAACTTTCTATGAAATTGACACTACATTTGTGTGAGATACATTATGATGAAAAAGTTATTATTGTGTGTACAGTCTTGTTCTCCAGAAAGGAAATACATCCTTGACTCCTCTAGACCACAGTAGCATACTATAATCCTATCCATATCAGAGTTAGATCACTGATTTAAAGAAAACATCATACAACTAGGAAAAATACAATTTCATTTAAAGGTGAGCACTACCAATAGACATCAACAAAGAGCTGGCAGCCCAGAAGGGAAATGACCAGTGATACTGGAATAGGTACTGTAATTGTGATATTGCAAATACATAATTAAAGTAAAATTTCTTTCAAATAAAGAACAGAGATGTGGAAGAAACAGACTACAGCCACTAATCATGTCAGCATCACCACTTTCTAACGATGAAAGTGATAGCTTACTAGGGTATAAAATAAAACTGTCATACCCATAAGCTGCACACTTAGCCTAAGAAAACATTTGCAACTTCACAAGCCTCCCTTGCTTATTTAGAAGACTGAAGTAAGATAAGTGAAGATGTTAATAATAACCAAAGTCCTTACAGGAAAGTCTGTCCCCTCGATGACCATCTTTGCAACACGGGCTGTTGTTTCCACTCACACAAGACAGGATCCAATTATTTTACATGGGGAGGCCGTATAATACTAAAATCACAAGCCAAATTAACATTTGAAAAGCAATTTTAATGTCAATGATAAAATCTAACAAAAACCAGCATAATCAGTTTGTACTTCTTGACTCAAATATCACTCGGTTTCACGCGATTTCACTTTGGAATCTAAAGGGTCACACTGTTGTAGTGTTTTTGTCATTTTTTGACATTAAAATAAACTGTGAAAGTGAAGCATGCAGACTCCTGTCAATATATAATGTAATAAAATGTTCCTAATTACGTAACTAACCGTAATTATGTAATTACATATTCATTTTGGGGGCAGTCATGGGCTGGAGGTTAGGGAACCAGCCCTGTGACCGGAAGGTTACGGTTTGATCCCCTGAGCCGACAGTATGTGACTGAAATGCCCTTGAGCAAGGCACCTAACCCCCAATTGCTCCCTGGGTGCTGTGGATAGGGCTACCCACTGCTCCAGGCAAGTGTGCTCGCTGCCTCCTAGTGTGTATGTGGTGTACGGATGGGTTAAATACGGAGGCTAAATTTCTCCTTTGTGAGACTGATAAGGGTCACTTAATCTTGATCTTAAAAAGAAGACAGTGGTCTTTTCCGATGTTAAGATAGGTGCTGATCTTTTTAATTCAGTATAAGCCATGTCTTCCTAGAAGGGAAACTGAGCTGTAATCTCACCTGGTTGCCTCTCTGACGCTTATTTCCCGCAAACCCTCACTGAAGTCACAGAATGCATTCCTTTGCTGCCACATCACACAGAGCACAGAGAATGGCTATTATTACACTGACAATAGTTGGCCTTTGGAAAAATAAATCTCGTGTGCACTCCCTCGCTTAGCCACACATCTCTACCTCTCTCGTTCTATTTCAAATCCCCCCACCCCCCCCATTCCATGACAGATGTGTTTTAATGTGAACACAATTAGTTAGGGTGTTAGTGGTCCTCTTTCTGATGTTTATGAGATAAAGTTTGGCACACTGCTCCTTAGTAGCCACTAATCCTGTTGTTCACATTCATAATCACACCACCTCATCTGCTCCATTAATAACCTCATAAAGGTCCTTACTAAAGGTTGCAGGAATTCAAAATCCTTATCAAGAATTTTAAATATCTCAAGCAGGGCTTTAAGTACAGAAGGTGCCACAATAGTCTCAAATGGCTTTAAAGCTCAATATCTGCATTTTAACCCTATTAACCTAAACTGTTGGATTGCACAGGCAAAATGAGTCAGTTCAAATAATTTATTGTAAATCAACTAAATCAAGGTTAAATTGCTACCCTTTATGCATTTTTCAGAACTGTAATTTTGCCAAAAGTAACGAGAGCAAGTGCCTTTAATCAAAAGAGCAAAGAGCCTGGTGATTAGCTGAAAAACCTAATGGTACTTGTCATGTTATCTGTAGAAGACCTAAAAGGGAATTAGCAAGAATTTATTAGCAACACTCACCAGAACTTCTTAAGCAACCACAAGTGGGAATCCATGTCTGTTTCATGTTTAAGCTCTTCAGTCCTGTTTGGTCATAGCTGCTGTTTTATATCTTAAAAAATTAATTTGTTTTGGTAAAGGAAGGGATTCAGATTCAACTACAAGCAGGAAATGTTATCAGTGCCATTGGCTGGGGATAAAGCTTCTTTAAATGATGTGTAATGGTGGTACCCAGAGACTCAAGCCTCATCATGGGAAGTTGATTTGGCTGTGGACTACTGCATTCTTTAATAGTTCTGATTTGTTTGGACATTAAGGGCCAGTTTCCCAGACCTAAATTAATGCTAATCATAGATTTAAAAAATATTCCTATTTCTGACTCAACACTGCCACTGCAATTAAGCCCAAGACTAGGCTTAATCCATGTTTGATAAACCAGAACAGTATGTTCAGAAGTATATGGTGTTCCCGGTGTAGCAAGCTGGTACAGTTGTAGGTTAACTGAGCTAAACATACCACAGCTCTATTGAATTTACACATAATATGTATAGTACACTATACAATAGTATATGATTTAAATAGTTTTGGCACCCCTGGCCAAATGACATATTTTGTTGATTTTTAAAGTGAAAAGAAGTAAACAAAACCTCTGCAGCAAACAATTTTTAAAGTAGCATAATTTTTGCAAATGTTAATGCATAGTTACTTTACATTTGATGAACTAAAATAATAATAATAATAATAATAATAATAATAATAATATATTAAGTACTACTATAATATTAGTATTACTAAAATATATAATAAGTACTGCTAGTAGTAGTAGTTGTGGCATGTGCAAAAGTTTGGGTACCCTTCTAACTTTGTACTTTGTTACACCTCCTTTAGCAAAGCTTGCAAACACTTTTTGTAGAATCCATTCTTTCATCTACTCATGCAGTGTTACCTGTGCCACTGGCTGCCACACAACCCCAAAGTTTAATTTTTACTTCATCAGCTTCCAAAATGCCTCTGGCTTATCTAGATGTTGTTTCGCATACTTCAGACAATTGGCCTCACTCACCAAAATCTTTTTTCTGAAATTCTTGAGAAAGGAGAAAGAAGGAGAAGAAAAGAAAAAGTCTATGTCAAATTTATGATGTGTTCTTAAACCACAGAACTTACCTAAGAACAAATCTCAAATAAGAAAACATTGGTGAATGTCAGCATCTTTGTGAAAACTGCGTACAAGAAATTTCTTCTTAGGAAAAGTTGGTGAATGAGGCCCATTGACTTGTGTGATGAGGTTGCAGGTAAGGTTTCCTTCTGAAGATTCTTCCATTTAATCATATTTGGTCAACAACACTACAGAACAGTGCACCACTGCTCCAGTGTCAGCTAAACATTTCTGCATGTCATATGGAGGTTTAGCTTTGCCTTCCAGGCCAGCATACGAGCAGTTCTATCAGACATTTTTCTTGGTCTTGCAGATCTTGCTTTGATCTCCACAGTTCCCTCTAACTGCCATTTCCTAATGACTTTCCGAACAATGGAAACTGTGAGCTAGAAGAGTTCTGATATGTTTTTATTGTTTTTCCCTGCTTTGTTGCAATCAGTTAGCTTTATTTTCAAATCGTAAGCAAGCTGCTTAGAAGAGCCCATTGTTATTGAAGGTTGGCACGGGGTTTAAAGAGTCAGGGAATTTACTATGCCCTGAAATTAATATCAGCTAATGACAATTCTCGACCTATCCTAAAGAGTCAATTAAGGCCTAACACATCAAGTTCTGTAACTTTACAACAGGAAAGCATCAAAACTTTTGCTGCAATTATTATTTTATCAGGTTAATACAATATAAAGAAACTGTGATTTAACATTTGAAGAAAAATGCCCTGCAGAGACTGTGTCCTTATTTTCACTTCAAAAATCAATGTGATGTATTTCGTTCTAATGTCATTTGTTGATGACAAAAGTGCACAGCTCAAACATGAAAGAATGATTTACATGAAAACTTAGCTCCTTTAGTTGATTCTAAGCAAAATTATTCCCATAGTACCACTCATAGATTGCCATGTAGTGGAGCTCCCACTGTCATAATCACTGCAAATGTCAGAGTGTCCAATCAGCAGGGTGGTGTCCAGTCCAGAG